CGCAACTTGCTCGCTCGTCCGATTGGTTCCATTGATGGGCTTTTCAGAAGTTAGATACCATAGCTCGACCCATGCAGACAACAGAAAAGGAGGAAAACAAGTCGGAGGTTCCGAGCAAGGCTAACGAGCTGCTAGCACTCGCCGGTCTGACAGCTCTGCTATCTTTTGTTTCAGCCATCGAAGCCGGTTCGCTAACATTCAGTGCTCTTATATAGTCTACAATAATGAGAGCCGCAAAGCATGCCGCGATACCCTACACGACAAGATAATGTATCTCATCAATATGTATGAGTAGCTCTTGATTACCGGTGAGTTGATTGGTTTGTTCTGTAACGAGCTAGATGAACTGTCGTTCCGTGGTAATCGACATCGTCCGGAGGCTGTGAGGGATATAATCAATGGTTCAGAGCGTATACCATATTGTAAACACCTTAATCAGTAGATCATAATCAGTAATCATCCAACATCAATCGCGCAGTCCTCAACGCTTCCAAAGAGGCGCAAACACGCCTACATATTATGGAGAAGTGTGATATGATACAGATGTAAATAAAATGCTTGGCTTGAGCCATTATTCGGAGGTTAACGTTGTCAACCTTGCGACTGCAACGTGTTGATGAGCCTGCCGTATAATAGAGCCAGGGCGCAGGTCAACATAGGTAAGGAAAAACTTATTCGCGGCTGGCACCCACCAGTCCATTCCATCCTCGAGGCCCTCCCCCTTGGTGGCAACACACTTGAAGATGCTCCACTGCCGGTCCTTGAGCGTGTCGAGGCCAAGGGCGCCCGACACCTCGCTGGCGCTCGCTGCATTCGGTAGGTCCTGTTTGTTAGCAAAGATGAGCAGCTTGGCCTGCTGGAGCTCGTCCTCTTGGAGCATGCTCAGCAGCTCGCGCTTGGATGTGGAGAGCCGCTCGCGATCAGATGAGTCGATAACGTAGATGATCGCGGTAGTGTTGGCGTAGTAGCAGCGCCAATAGGGTCTGCGGGAGCAAGACGTAGTATGCGATGTGTCAAGGTGCCGTGGATAAAAAGCTGACCAGAAGCGCGAGTGCTCTTGAGGTGGATCACCTACCTATTGACTCACCGTATTGAGGTTTGTCCACCCAAGTCCCATACTTGCATGGAAATATTCTTGTACCTCACAGTCTCTACGTTGAAACCAATCGCTGCAAGGCCAAAATGATTCTCAGTGAAGGTTCGGAAAGGTCATCTGGGCACTGAGCCTTGAAATCGTCGACGCACTAGGAATCGTTGAGACCACCTCCCCTAGCTGTAACTGATAAAGGATGGTGGTTTTTCCGGCACTGCAATCGAGGAAGTCGAACTCAATCAGCACATCTGGCAAGCGAGTCGCCATCACTGTGAATAAAGAGTAAAGAGAAACGGCGCTTACCTGTCAAGGCCGAGCATCAATATCCGAAGCTCTTCATCCTTTGACCAGAAAGCCAATCGCCCGAAAAGGGAGGAGAATGAGGCGCCCATCTTGTGCTTCTCCTTGCTTGTTCTGCTTCCGTTCTCGCCACGGTCCGGCCGGGAAGGAGTTGCAGGGCGGCTAGCCGGTGGTCACCCCGAAGAACCTCGACCTGCTCCCTTTTGAGGCGACGCGGTCTGAAACCCACTCTCCGCAACTATTGGCTGCTGGTCTCTGAGAACGCTTCGAGCTGTTGGAGCAAGCAAAATGTGTAAAGCTCATCGCGCCAACAATGACAAGGTGCGAAAGGGAGATACCAATTAATTGGCACCAACGAGCCGAGTAGGGTTATGCTTCCATCTCTCACCACGGCGACGACGCAGCGAGTTTTCTAAATGACGATGCTATAGATATTGATTGACAACCAACCAACACAGTCACCCGCGCATATCCTGGCATTTGTGCGCACCGCCAACAAGCATTCAATTACTCTTCTGCTTCGGAAAAGAAGCGCGTGCCGCGAGAAAGCGGCAAGTGTCCAATCTGCTACGAAGGGCTCACGCCTGGCTCGGAAGCGCGGCGGGAGTTTTGCAAGCACTTTGCGGCCAGCCTTGTCTGGTAAGTGCTTCGGGAAGTGGGCCAAGCAGCCGCAGGCAACGAGCAGGAATGGTGGCGTCAGGTATGTCATGTGTCGAGCTGAGCTCTCGGCAGGGAACAGATCACCGTCTGCAGCGGCGCGCATAGGTCACGAAGGCTACCTCGACCTCACAGCCGCAATAGGCATCAAAAAGTATCGAGACATCAGTTCGTACCACAGAATCTGTTGGTATGACAAGGACCACGATGACGTGGAAGGTGTCTATGGCGATGAATATGTTGATGAGTACGGTGATGACTATGGCTATGGCTATGGCTATGCCTACTTTGATGCACACAATAGCTAATGAAGGCAGAGTAGGCCTACGCCTGAAGTTTGCGGTCAGTGCACCCGAGCTGTTACAACTCTAAAGTGGCACCGGTGCCTTGATTCACATGCGTTGTTGTAGTACAAGCAAGTTCGCACGAATTCGAATGTGCAAAGAGCAAAGGAAGTGGGTGTCGTCTGAGGCCCGTCCCGGGAGGGGCCTGACGCGGCGACTGGTATTCGATCGACTGTCGAGAAGAACGAGGGAGCGAAAGACGCAAATGCGATGGTCCGTCGGGATACGCGTAAAGACCGTGTTGGAAAGGTTTTGTTGTGTAGCCGAGCGAGCGGGCGGTAGAAGCCTTCCGTCCCACCATTCCGGCCAACATATAGGCTTATATATATGTATGTGTGTTTCCCCGAAGGAGAAGCCCGAAAGAAGGCGAACCGAACGATAAGAAGAACAAATCGCCCGACCACAAGGGTGTCTACGCGCCGGAATTGACGATGTGCAGGACGCCAGATGCGCGCCAGAAGTTGGCTCCGAGGCGCTCTGTCTCCTCTGCGTCGCGGTCCACCTCCGAGGCGGGCACGACGGCGACAAACTCTGCGGCACCGCTATGGACATCCCTGCCGAGCGCGCGCGCGAATGCCGGCGTCTTGTGCATCGACGCAGCTGTGACTAGCGCTGCGGTTGTCCGTGGCGGCCCAATGGCTACGCCGTGTGGGTCAAGAATGCTGCCATTCGACGGTAGGCTTGGTAGCGGGCCCATTGGGGGCGCTGACATCTGCTGCTGCTGCATGGTGTTGCCACTACGGGGGGGCTGCATCCACATGTGCTGCTCATTGGAGCTGCCGCGGGAGAGCTGCCGTTGATGCTCGCCGAAAATGCTCCCAAGCAACTGGTGGTTGTTCCCCTGCAGTTGGGCCTGGTGCTGCGTGCTAAAGTCAGCCTCGGAAGGCACCGAGCTGGACGATGCAGACGAGAGCGTGGGCATCGTTATGCCGGACGTACTAGTTGCAAAGAAGCTGCCGCTGGCGCTGCGCGCAACGCCCATCATCTGCTCGCCAGCACCGCCGCCAGGCGCGGCGTTGCTGCCGTCCTCCTGCGCATCGAGGTGCGTGTACATGGATGGATAGTTCTCATACAGCCCGGGGGTGAACGGCGGCGTGATGGGCCTGGACCGTGAGACGGACCAGTTGCCGCCGGAGAGGCGATGCTGGTGCTGGTGCTGTGCCTGCACGTGAGCAGCGTGCTGCTGCTGGCTGCTCTTCGTATACGACAAGCTGCGCACGCTACTGCCCGTCGGCGAGGAAGGCCCGGCGGGCGGCTGAGAGTCAGGAGAGTTGAGTGCACAGTACACCGAAGGGGAAGCGTTGGGGACCGTGTCGGCGTACGGCGCGGTCGCATCAGCCTTCTCGACAACTGCTGATTGCGCGGCTTCCGTACCGGGGGGAAAAGCCAGGGACTCCTGGCGTGAGAGAGACATGGCCGCGTCGAGCAAACTATTGTCACTCCTTGCGCGGTTATGCGTCGGCGGCGCAACAGCAGCAGCAGCAGGGGCCTGCGCGAGCTGCTGCCCAGGGCCGTTGGTACGCACGCTGTTGCCGTGACGGAGGCCACTGAACGAGCTGATGGCGCCGCTTAAGCGGGAGCGCGCACCTTCGTGCGACGCCTCACTGCACGCCTCACTTGCACTGGCAGCACTAACGGCGTCATCGCTGGTCATCGCGAGCCCGATCTCCTCTTTCGCCTCGCTGTGCGATGTCGGCGTTGCTGAGTGGCGCTGGCCCCGATCCGCACTGTCGGCGCCGACGCGCGAGGGACTGAGCGCGCGCGCAGGCGAGGGTGCAAAGCCGTAGAAATTCGGGCTTGTCGGGAGCATCTTGCTGAGCTGTGCACGCGTTTCCGGTGGCGGAAACGCGACCATGGCAACCTGTTGGTCAAAGTCGAGCGGCTCGTGGTGGTTCGGGCCAGCGGCTGGGTGTTGCGGCAGCAGCAGCTGCTGCTGTTGCTTGACATGCGCCGCGGCACCGACGGCGTAGTACGCATTTACATCCTGCGCGGTGATGCCCGCATACTGCTTCTCGTGCTTAGGCGACACCGTCGACGGCCACTCGACGCTCCCAGCGGTGGCGGTGGTGGAAGTGTCGGCAAAGGAGGCATACACGGCCGAGTTGGCCGACGCGTGGCTGTATGACTGAGAGAGGTGACGCGCGATGGGCGATTCGGCACCAAGACGGCCAGCGTGCTTGACATTAACGCCGAGCATCCCCCACGACTCGCGGCGCGGATCGTGCAGCAGGTCGGCGTCATCGGCATCAGCCTCGGCGCCGGCAGCGCCGCCTGCAGTGAATGCGCGTCCGATCTCGGATGTCGACGTGCGCGCCCCGCCCGAGGTGCCAAAGTATTCGAAGCTGGTTGCACAAGATGAGAGTGTTTAGCCAACGTCAGTGCATACATCCAAGGAAAAGGGTAAGAAAGAAAAGAAAGGAGGCCACGATGCGCACCTTTGATCGCCATACCCGCCACCGCCGTGCGCGCCCCTCACACCCGTTGGGTCAAAGTACGAGTCGAGGCGCTGGTGTTTCCTCGCAAAGAGGCCACCTACGCCGCCGAGGAATGCCTTGCTGCCGCTGCCACCATCAGCGAGGGAACCTTCCTTGGACGGGAGGCCGCCATCATGCGCTTGCTGCAGCTGCTGGCGCTGCTTGTTACGGCGGCAGAGCCAGAAGAAGAGAAAGAGGAGCCCAGCGGCTCCTGCGATGCCGCCGACGACGCCGCCGGCGATGGCGCCCGCGTTTACGCTGCCGCTGCCATCGCCGCTCCCGTCCCCGTTCGCGAGGCCGCCAACGTTAGAGGCTTTCGCTGTGCCGCTGCTGGACGTCGGCGTGGCGTAGTACGTCGAGGTGAGGTAGGTCACGATGGGTGCCGTACGCGTCGTCTCGGACCCCGTTGTTGCGGGCAGCGTGAGCGGGAAGAGCGGCTCGCTGGAAGCTACCGGCTGTTCCTGGGACGACTGTTGTTGACTCTGCTGAAACGATGAGGGCTGCTGTTGTTGGTGTGAGGATGCAGGAGTGTTGCATGCAGGTGTACTGTACAGCGTTGCGGTAGCGTAGCTCCTCGTGATAGTGCTGATGAAGGTGCGGGCCTGCTGGCGCGCAACGAGCAGCTCGGGGTAGATGGCGTTTGCTGCACTCGCCAGCGCCTGTAAATGCTGTTGTGCGCCATCGGCACCTCGCGCACCACTGTGAACGACCCGCGCAAAGTGGTAGCTGGCCCCAGGTGCTGGTTCATCCCTCGCCTTCGCTGGCACAAGGTCGGGCAGCGGCTTGCCGAACTTGATCCATCGCCGTCCATTTTCCGCCATGCTTCTGCTGCCGCCGCTGCCGGCTTCATTTCTTTTTGAGGATGTAGCCTCTACACTGCTGCCACTGCCGCTGCTGCTGCCGACCCCCGAGCCCGGTGAAGGCGTTGAGCTGCTGGAAGGAGAGGATGAGCTGCTGGTCGAGGAAGACGAGGACGGTGTGCTCGACCCAGCACCACCGCCTCCGCCCGACTCGGTGACGGTGGTTGTGCTATAGACGGTTGTGTACAGCGTCGCTGTTGGGACGGGTGTTGGACACGACATGGTATATATATATCTGTCTTAATACGAGGGGAAGAAGACGTGCGAATGAAAGTGAGGGTGAGGAGATACGAGTGCTCCCCCGCTGAGTTCACCCCGGTCCGCTGAGTGACCGGTATTTCTCTATCCGAGACAGAGGCCGTTGTGGCCCGTCGTCGTCGTTGTTGTCTGTGCCCGCAACTACTATATGCTTGGTGTGTTGGGGCTGGTAAGATGGAGGGTTCATGCACCGAGGGTGAGGATGATTGGATGTGCGAATGGGTTTGATTCCATTCGGGTTGTGGCATCGGGTGGGTCTGGCTGCTTTGACAGAATAAAAATCATCGCACTAGAGGGCTCGGAACTTGACATTCTGATACGCGCCATAGTCATGCCGTCCCACTTCTGATAGCGGCACGCCAGAGCACGGCATCAGAACGTCCTCCCTTCCCCAAACCTCCACAGTGGCGGGCATCACGTGGTGCTGCTCTGATACTCGAGGGACCTATTCACCATTGCTTTATGCTACATTTAGTTTTCGTCACATTGTCATACATCGCCTCACTCGAGGCTAAGGCAGAAAAGCGAGGTGATCGACATGAGTGTATCAGAGCAAATATGGGAAGACGCACATCCACTTAGGGGTAATTCCTATAAAAAGCATGCTGAGACTGAATGAGGACACTAGTCGCCATATCATGCATGCACTTGCTAGCATCTCGAGCAATGGAAGATCGCGAAGTAACCACGGGTTGTGTCAGTCACCAAGGCGGGCGAAAAAGAAATGAGATTGTGAGAAAGCTCGCCATGAAAGGGGAGGAGCTACGAGTCGTCAAGCAGATGCCGTGACCTTGTTGTATCCTCATTTTTCAACTCGGCGGTCGAGCGATGGCAGGCCAGCCCTTTGGCATGCTGTGAGGAACACAGTCCAAAAGTACACATCAGGGTTTCTTACGTTCGCGCACAGGTCGTGTTTGCCTTCGCAACTGCGTCGCGTTGCGGCCGTGGAACGTTTTGAACAGTCCGGGTCTGCGCGCTTGTCTGCAGAACGAAGCAGGGTGGAGCATCTGCAAGGCCTGCCGGGCCCAAAGAATTGGAAGGAAGCGACGCGACCAGAGGTGGTTCATTCGCCA